AAAAAAACAAAAGGAAAAAAAAGTTACCTTCACGTGATTCATATAATTAGAATTGTACAGTGCTTTAAATGTATAAACCACAAACTCTTGGTAAAGTAAATCAGTTTTCTTGCTATTGCAACATCTCTAAATTTCAATTAACAGTCTGAGTTATAGAGGAATCAAACTCACTCTTTACAGAAAATACCCTCCTTCCTGTCTTCTAAAAGAGCCCCTGTGCCCCACCTCATTCTCTTAGAGACTTTTCCATTACATGAGATAAGGTGCCTTTTGTCTTATTTTGTGTTTAGTTCATTTTCCAGTTCCATTAATTTCCTAGAAGCCTTTACTTTATTGGATACATCCTGGCCCTGTGAGAAAAGACGCTGGCGTTCTCTGAACGTCAGGTTCTCTGGTGCTCCAGGTACATCAGTATCTTGACTGGAAGAAAAAAAACATTTGTTACAAGGTCTTGTTTCATATTTTCTTTCATTTAAAAGCTTAGGCCAGATGACTTAGCCAACAGTACACCTGCCTAACTAATGGAAGTTTAGGTTCATGTTTTGTAAGGTTTGTTAGCGCCAACAGTACCAGTACAATCATTTAGATAAGCCAATGGGGTTACTGATAACCTTCTCCGATTGTCAGACACGTGGACGAAATCAATTGCTACTTTGCATACTTCGCAAGGCGTAAGGGGGTAAACAAAGACCCAGCCATGTTACCAATATTGCTGAGACATGCTTTTATCAGTACTGCTCAGACTGGCCTGGCAAGCAAAATTAGGTATACTAATTTGTGCCTCTATGCATTACATTAGGCCTTCTGCTGGTACAGAAGTGTCATAGAAACCCCATGTCTCTATCTGACGTTGCTCTACTGGCAGAAATCTAAAATGTGGACATGGCCTAAGCTCTTCAGTCTTTCCCCATCTTCATCCTTTGATACTACCTAACTCTCTGGTTGACTATTTCCATCATCATCTTTGTGGACTCTAAGATACTGTTGTTCTGTTGGTGTCCTCTTCCCATCTGTGCCTGCCTGTACACCTGGAACACTGATCCTGATCCAGTCAGCTATACTGTACTTATGGCTCAATGTCTTGGCTCCATTTTGTGTACTTTAGAAAGTGTACAGTAGCTGCTGTAGCTCCTTTGCACCAGACAAGATGTAAAGGACTAAGCTACATGTCTTGTACTTTTGCAACTTCAATATATTCAGTATAACAGCTAAGTTAGCCATACATGTATGTACAATGCATACAGAAGTCATTAGCTGTGCTGGCCTACAGACAGAAGCTAGGGCAGGTGGCACCTTAGAGATTAACTGGTTCAGAAGCTAAGAATCCCAGGCTGTTGCCTAACAAAAGCCCATGCCTCTATGAAGCCATTCCAAGGTGCCATGCCAGCCTGTCCTACCATACGCATGTACTACACAGATTGTTAGCTACATGGGCCATTTTATAAGCACCCAAAAAGACCAGTGCAGACCTGCAAATCATCAAGCCTGGCTGAAGGAGTAAAAAAATTAGCTCATAGTCAGCACCAACTGAGTTCACTACTCTAAAAGAAGTACTTCAGATAACCAGAAGTATGGAAGAAGTGTTGTATAAAACCAAGATCTATTCTGTAATAATCTGAGATATTCCAGAACAAATTCCAGAACTCCTTAAAATGTCCTGCTCATTTTTAAAGCTCTTCCTCTGAAAATCTCTTTTCTAGATTTAGAGGACCACTGGAAGTCATTATATGAGTAGGATTAAAAAAAGAATCCAGAAATCAACAGCTAATGAATACAAATAAAATAGTAAACCGGCATAGTATAGCTTTATTTCACCTTTTAGATCTTTTTTCTCTTGGATCCCGATAAAGTTCCTGGGCTCCAACAGTTGCTCCTGTAGATCCAGTGTAAGAATTTGGTCCTTATTAAAAAAAAAAAAAGGAATTAAAAATAACAGTTGAAGGATATTTATTGCCAGATATAAAGCTTTCAGGTTTATTTTTCAAAAGGTGCAGTGCTCTTCGAAGACAAACTCTTGTAAATTATTCCTATATTGTTAAAAAGGACTGAAAAAGTGTTAAAGAGCCTGTCGAAATTGCAAGAATAATTATTTCTTTCACAGACTACTTTTGTTTCACAAATAAAAATTAAAGGTAAAACGTGCATTGTATTTAAAACAAACCATGAGATAAATAACTTTATAAGCATTTGATATCTTGAAGTTTATTTATTATAATGCAGAAATACAAGATACTTAAAAGGGGGCTAAAGAAAAGACCTATAATGCAATCTACACTTTTTCTGCAGGGCTCGTCAGGTTAAAACTAACATTTACAGCTATGATAAGTGTAGCCCACACATCTGAATATCCTATTATGACAATTCCTCTACTCAGATTAATCTTTTAGTTAGGTTTTGAAAATATTTGGGAACTTGGTAAACTGTACTACCAAGTATGACTCAATCTCCCATTTCTGTGCTTCTCTGTTTTGCATGCAAACACCTTGCAGCACTGCACCTTTGGATTTAGTTCAGACATTAAGATACACAGATTCAATAGAGAATATAAGTACACTCCAAAAGATCACAAGACTAAACAGATTTAATCCCAAATCAACATTTTTTGACATTAGAGTCAGCTTTTAATTATGCTTTCTCAATTATCTGTATCATTAGGCAGCCAGTCAAAATAATTGTATGATTCTCAAATTTGTTTTCAGATTTCCATTTTTGGTCCCTTGACATTGTAAATGTAATGTCTTGTGACCTTCCCTCTACAGGAAGAAACTTATTCTTACTCTTCTTCCACAGGTAAATTTTGAACTTCAAGTAATTAGAAGATTAAGAGTTCAGGGGGGAATAAAAAAATAACTTGTTTGTATTTCTCTGCCAGATCAATTTAACAAATATATTTATTAGAGGCCACGTGCATGTGTGGATTAGACAAATATTTTGAGCTATAAAGTTGTAACACAAACCACATAAAAAACATAACTGAAATGTTTTGAAGAAATAAGTAACTGCCTTGTTCAGACCAAGATACCATTTTTGACTACTAGCATCCATCTAAATTTGAGGTCTTACTTGCATCTGCCTCATTAAAACTGCTCAGACTCTCAGTCCCAAAGTAATGGAGCCAGTTTTTTAAAATAATCCTTTAGGCAAACCAGTGGAAGAAGGTGGGAGAGTGCAGTTTGCAGAAGCATGGTCTGTCTACCAGTCTTAGCATTCATAACAGAAGAGCTATAAAGGACAGTAATGTTATAGGGCTAGTGAGATGGAAATATGACAAGCAGCATAGTGAATCTACTTTTTGTGCAAATGGCTTTGTATGTTACACAGGCAGTCTTCATAGATGCTGGAGCAATCAAGTGAACTATTTAGCCTGTTCCTATAGTTTTTTTAAAGTATGAATAGAAGTACTCAAAATGCTTTTTTATGTGTAAAGATTATTACAAGTGAAGTGTCATAGTGCTGTGTTCCCTTTCCCTTTTGACTTACAAACTGTCCTCTTAACTATTTATTGAAAAACAAAGCATCATTAAAATGCGTGTCACCTTCTTGAGGTTCCTCTTTTCCTTTAATGCATGAAAAACCAGAAGAATGTAAGATTGGGAAATATAATTAAAGGGCAAGGGTTTTAGTGTTTTACAGAGAGACAGGAGTGCATTAGGGATGATTAGTGAATAACAATTTTAGTTACTTAACTTATTCATATGGTGGCTTCAAAGTGCCAAATAAGCAAAGGAATTTACAGCATTCTTTAAGCCTATATGTAAAGATACAAAACCTGGTTTTATACCTAATCCCAAATTAGCTGCAATTGACAATTTCAAGTACAGAAAAAGGAAAAGGTACTTTAAAGAGATAAAAGAAATACAATATTATTTGCCATATTTTAAATAAGCTTACGTTGATTACAAAGCTGCTTTCCTTTGGCTCATATTAATTTGAAACAACAGCCATATGTGGGTCTCAGCAGCTTGAGTCCAACTGCTTCTAATGTGGAACCACATTTGCAAAAAAAGTAATAATTACTTTCCCTTCAGTAACTGCACTTTTTCAGGAGGCTATAGTAAGTACAGATCCCACTGTAGATGCTCATGAGCACGCATATCAGACTTTTTAAAGTCTTAGTGCCTGCATATTTTTCCAAGGCCACTTTGTCCTGTGTAATGACAAAGGGTTGGCCAGCTACAATACTTCCTCAGAACACCCAAATTAAAAGGAAGCAGAAGTCAAGGAAAGTAAATTGGGTTTGTCTTCAAAACTAGTTGAGAAAAGGATGAGTCTGGAAGTATGAAAAGCGGGTCAGACACTAGCCAAATTCCACTTTGCTGCCTCATTTTTCTCCAGGCACTGAGGGACAGTAATGGCCACTCAGCCTTTTTGCCATTGATGAGGAGCAGAAAGCAGCACTGAACTAAGAGAAGGACCCAAGGGATACCGCTACTCAAAAATAATCCGATTTCATGTTCACAAACTATGTCCACACTTATCCACATGGACACACTGAAGAGAAGAATAAATACGTTACAAATTTTCTCTTAACTGGTAAGTCCAAATTTTAACAATGAACTTCAGTCCATGTTAACTTCCAAGGCTGAGAACAGTTAGAAGAGAAAATCTAGTGCTCTCAGAATGCTGCATGTTGTTGAAATTAATGGAATTAAATTGTTAATTAGGCTTTTATTTACCACTGTAATTGCTTATTTGTATTATAAGGGGAAGAGGAGACAGAAACATGGCCAATGTGGGGACTGAGGAAGAACTGAAACTAAGGCATTTTGATGGAGATTAAGCTATTGCTTTCAGTTACAAGGTAACCTGTACTACACAAAGCAGAAATATTGTGACCACTGGAAGCTGCCTGGAATATTGTTTGTATTGTATCTGAGCCCTGAAGGTTACCATGGACTTGATTAAGAATTACAAGCATATGAAGGCCCTTTAAAGCCATTTGCACACATTTTAGTTAGAAAAAGAATCCCTTTTGTACTAAAAAGAGGGCAGAAGATAAGCTCCCACCATTAACCAACCAGAAAATATATTTCTTATGTTCATGGAACACATGTATAGAAGCCATAAGCACACAGTGGTCAACCAAATAAAACAAGAAATGATTATTGGAAGGTACAAAATTAAAGCCAAAACCAACAGTACTTTCAAATGGTCAAGTAACAATTAATCAAAATGATTTTTTCCTTCATAATCTGAAACATGAGATTTTCTTTTAAATCAGAGTTTGGCAAAGAATAAAGAAATTTGACAGATTATAAAACAGGGTTGTCCAACTTCTACGGAGCTGGGGGCTACTACCCCAGAAGCCACATCAGTGAGAGGCACGGGCCTCAGGGCCCCCCCCCATCACTTGCTGCCCAACATGCCCCCTCTCTCCCCTCAAACTCCTGCACTACATATGTAGATAGTGCCCCCAACCCCACTCTTCGCACTATGGACATGGGCAGTGGCCACCTCCGCTTTACTGCTGCACCACACAGTGAGCTGTGCCTCCCCACCTCCTGGGGCTTGAGCAAGAAGCAAAAGCTGAGGGAGGGAGGGGGAACCTAGAGACCCCAGATGCAGCAGTAGCCCAAGTGACAGGGAGAGCAGCTGTCCGGCAGGAGCCCAGGGTCTGCATGATAATGCCCCATGGGCCGCATGTGGCCGGCGAGCCACCAGTTGGACAGCCCTGGATTCAAACATCTACAAAATCAGAGAATTCACACGGACATCAGAATTTTCAGTTAAATCACCACAGTAAGAATATAGTGATTATATCTACAAACACCAGAGTGGGAAATGTGCAGACAGGTTTGTAGAGAAAGAGACTTATTTCATTGTTAATCTCTACCTTTCGAGCTGCTGGGCTGGAAGAAACTTGGTTTGTGTGGTGGGGGTGGGGGCTGACTTGTTTTGGTGGTAGTACTGTTGGCATTGACAGAGGGTGGCTGGAATGAGTTGGAAAGAAAGATGCCATCTGAAACTGGGTGCGGCTGGCGGGAGGGCTGCTGTGGCTTAAGGGTGGCAGGAGGAAGGTCACCATAAGATTTTCTTGTGCTGGAGTACTTATCCTGACCTGCTAGATTGGAATCCTCCTCCTCCTCATCATCATTGTATGCAACAAACTTGGCAGTATAAAGCGTGTCAGGGGAGAGGACCTGTGTTTTGAGGTAAGAGGTGTTTCGCTGAGGTGGGGGAGGAGGAGCATTAGATGAAAGGGTTGGGGGTGGGAGCTCATATTCCCGTGGAAGTGGAGGTCTGTACAGACCAGGCTCGTCAGATTCCAGTAATCTTCGGTCTGCCTCATCATGCTGCCTGCGCCTTTCAGCTTCCAAGCGACTGTAATACCCTTCTTCCTGTCGCCTCTGTAGGTCCACAGGAAACAAAAGCAGTTGTCAGAAAACAGAGGACATTTACATACAGGATAGATGTAATTTTTCCTCCACAAAGTAGCGAACAAATTTTTCTTCCTTCTTCTCTAGCAATAAGCAATGAAGCCATACCTAATGGTATACAGAATACATTTGCTATAGTAAAAAATGACCAAATGGTCTTGTAACAATGTCAATTTTGAGTTATTTCTAGACTCGCTACATACTTGAGGCTAATAGTGTACTTGTGTCCAAAGTAAAGAACCTATATTTACTAATAGCATTCTCCCTTCACTGATATTAAAAAAGTAATAGTATACGTAGAATTTAAAGGAATGTCAAATCCCAGAATTTCACACACTGATAAAGTAAATATTCACCAAAACAGCAGAAGTCTAAGAGTTAGAAAAAATGACCAGGAACTTTGTCAGAGTACAACTGTGCCTTCTCTCTACTGAAGAGTAGGTTAATCAAGAACTTCGGAGTTGACTAACAGTGCAAAAATATTAGAAAAATATCTTTTATAGAATCACAGAAAAGTAGGGCTGAGAGGGACCTCCAGAGCTCATCTAGTCCAGTAGTCCCCTTCCATGAGGCTAAATCATCCCTTTCCAAACCATTCCATATAAATCCGTTACCCAACCCAAGAGCAAAATTACAGTGTCAACCCAGACAGTCACAAGACATAACACCCTAACCTGCCACAGATAAAACAGGGGAACCACACTGGTCAACGTCCTGCTGCTCCAAAAGATGTTATTGCACGGACAACCTTAAGGTCCTGCAATTTAATTGTTTTTATTAAAACGTATTATTTAAAATAAATTTATAAAATCCTAAAAACAGGATTTTAAATCCTATCATTAATGACTCTGTTAAAGCATCCCCTACAAATTCTTAGAAAAATATCATGCCCTTACTGTTTCTATGGGGCCACAGCAAAACTCACCATTACCAGAGCTGTCCAACTGGCAGTGCACAGAGGGGTTAACAACAGGCAGTCTCTTGGCTCCCACCTGGACACTACAGCTCCTTGCTCCAGCTGCCACCGTAGCTGGTGGCTTGGGACCTTCCCTCCTCCCCTTGGATTCTGCCGCCTGACTTATTGGGGGGTAGGGAGGGTTGCCTGCAGTGCCAGGTAAGGCAGGGTACTGCACCGGGGCAGTGGGAGGAGGTGCCTGCCCTCCTGCATAGTGGAGTAGGAGCATCTGCCCACTCAGCCAGAGGAGCACCTGTCCATCTGCAATGCAGGTGGGAGTATTTGCCCAGTTGCATGTGGTACAGTGGGCTGGGGGGCACTTACCTGCTCATGTCTACGGCATGCAGCATGCAGTCCTTACTTTTGCAGCCCATAGGGCATGTGGACCCTGGCTGCTTGCAAGCTGAATAGCCCTGATCTATACTGAGGGTTGGGCAACCCTAAAAATCAAACAGGTCTAATAATGCACACTACTACACTGCTATTTTACTTCTATTATCTTTGGACCTGCTGGGTACCCCTACCATAGGCAAACTGATGTCCAGTTCTGGGTGCCGCACTCCAAGAGGGTCCAGGAGGGCCACTTGATGGTCAAGAGAGGCTGCAAAGAGAGGCTAAAGGGCCTGAACCTATTCAGCCTCCACAAGAGAAGGCTGAGAGGGGATCTGGTGGCCGTTTACAAACTCACCGGGGGGCCCAGAAGGAATTGGGGGAGGCTCTGTTCCCCCAGGCACCACTGGGGGTTACTAGGAATAATGGCCACAAATTGTTAGAGAGAAGGTTCAGGCTGGACATCAGGAGACATTACTTTACAGTTAGGGCTGCTAGGCTCTGGAAAGGGCTCCCAAGTGAGGTGGTGCTTTCTCCTACCTTGGGGGTCCTCAAGAGGAGGCTGGACAGATATTTGGCTGGGGTGTTATGACCCTGGCACCCGTTCCTGCCCGGGGCGGGGGGTCGGACCTGATGATCTGTTTAGGTCCCTTCCGACCCTAAGCACTATGATACTAAATTTCCCTTCTAATTTTTCAATTTAAAAGGCTTTTATGGTTCTGTAACAAAGATGTTCAATTCTGGACTGACATCTCTCAGACCTGTATTACCTGCATACAGACTTATTTTGTAATTAAGGGAGCCTGATCCTATCAACTCTTGCTCTGGCTGGGAACAAGACATCTTTTCCCCCTGTATAAAGGCTTTGTAGCACTTGGATGTCAATGAATTTTCAGCTGTCAGGTACACCACTGTCTCTGCTAAAGACCAAATTTGTCAGTCATGAAAAGTTGCCTTTCAGCAACTTGAACAACACTGCAGTTAGAAATGGAGAAGATCTACTGATCAAACTGAATCTACCCTCCACCACATCAGAACTATTTCCTCTGGTATATGCCTCAATACTCTGGGGAATCCAGTTACAAGTGACCCAAATGATGGATCTGTCACCATTTCCTATGTTTTCTTCCGTTTTTCATTGGTGCATTGTTTTCTATGTCACTGAAGAGATCTAGAACTTGTTATTCTTTTCTTACTGCATCTTTCCAGTAGGTGCTCCTGTAAGTATTAAAATATCCTTTCCCTTCTTCTAAAAATTGCAATTTCATTAGTGTCCCAGGTGTTAACAGGAAGAAACAGAACTGTCCTTTCTCTGGTGCAGTTGAATATTTATGCCACAAGTATTAAGTCTCAATAAGGGGATATATCTTCTAAATATGTTATGGCAAACTTCTCAAAATGTATACATAGAATTTAAAGGAATGTCAAATTCCAAATTTTTGAAGTAAACTTCAAAATCTTAGTGATCCAATTTCCCAACACAACAACATCTACTATAATCAAACTTCCTACAGGAAAGAGCCAAATCCTAATTTTGTTTTTTTCCTGGTTCTAACAAATGTTATAAAAATACAAAAGAATGTTTCTTCCACCATTCCCATCTCTGAGCCCTATAAAACTGTTTATGTTAAAGCAAAAACATAGTCTTTAAAAGTCTACTAGATTAAGAAAAGTCATTTTTTTTGTTTCTGCTTCTAAGAACAGAATTTCAGTGAAGTGTCATAAGGTCACCAATATAGCATACAGTCATAGGCTCAATTACTAGTACGCTCATTAGGTCAATCACTATCCAAGAACATGGAAGTGTCCCCAAGGGACAGAGGAAACCAAGAAGCTAAGGTAGAGAAGGCTCTGAAGGTAAATTCTAGCAGAAACAGCCAAGCTCAGAGGGCAAGTGGAGGCTTAGGTGTCTGTTGAGTTGAGTTATCAGTGAATTCCAAGCCAGGAAATGATGGGCTTGAATAGTAATTTAGGTTCTGCGTTTTATTTTGGATGGGACAAGGACTCGGGCCGTGAATGTTATTGTTTTGTTAATGTATTCACCTCCCCCTCCCCCAAAACCAAATTGTTAGTGGTCAGGCTAAGCAGTTGAAGCCTACAAAGAATCCTTGCTGCACTCAGAAGACCATAACCTTTTCTTCAGCCTCTCTCTTGGTTCGCTCCTCCTCCTGTCGCCGGCGCTCCTCTTCTTGCCTGGCCCTATCTTCTGCTTCTCGTTTACGCATCTCTTCCAACTGCTGCTGCCGTCGGCGCTCCTCATCCTGTAACTAACAAAAACATGCCTTTAATTTTTTTTATAAATTCAACTTCCCCTGGATATGAGAGAGTGTGCGCGTACACCTTGCTCATGTAAACAAGTCCAATACCACATACTACTTTGCTGATACATTAAATCAACACCGCTTTCAACTGTCCAGCAGTGATTAAGTACACTATGCTTTGCCTGAAAGTTTCTAAAAACAATGCCTAAACAAACAGAAACACCACACACAGAATTTCTATTTGTGGCACATAAAGGACAAGAAAAGCATAGGAAGGAATTTACTGGTTTCTTTTCATTGCTTGACAGTGCTGCAGCTGTACCCAACCAGAGAGGACTTTGGGAGGCAAGAGATTCGACAGCATCTCTCAGGCTTTATTTCCCATTACATTTGTAATTACGGACAATTTTACAATGCACCTAAAAAGGAGCTGAATTCCATTAAAAGCCATCTACCATCCCAGTATCACTGTAAAAATGCACATCGACTCCCTACTCTGGTACAGTACCTGAAATCAGAAAGTGACTGAGGCACGACTTACTTTCCAGACTACCTCAGTAACCATCTTATTTCACAGTTACGTGAAATCAAACACTTGGAACCAATAGCTCATAGTTCCAACAACCAACTCGTTTTTCACTTTGCATTAGGATGAAAGCATTGGAAAAATCATGACATTAGTAAAAATGTCAATCAATTTAAGTAACAGGCTTATGCAACACGTCTACAAATATTCTTAAAGATAAATGAATCCCACACCCCACCCCTCAGACATGCAGATGTCCACTAGGCAAATGGACAATGAGGCAAAAAAGATGAAGATACCTGAATGACACAGTTCACAGACTAATGTCTAGTAAGCTAGACAGAGCTGTAAGAGCTATCAGGTAAGCAGGACAATCAATCACAAAAATTAGCACCACTCCAAATATGTCTGTATAGGTTCAGTGATTTTGTCTAAGACCTGTCTATGATGGCAAGTGTAGTTATTGGGATAACAACTGAGTACAGAAATTACCTGGCACTTGCATGTGAATCCATTTCTTACTGCTATGAATTTTTTTTAAACTGAGCACAAAATTACCTTGATTTTACTTCTGTTTTTAAAAGATGTTGTGATCCGTTTATGTAGTTTACTGCTAAATATATTCAGTCTATTCTTAATCCTAACCAAATGTTTTATGCACATTAAGCAGTCACAGAAGTAGTTGGACAATTTAAATTTGAAACCATTATATTTCTGAGGGGAATCTCCATGCAAGGGTTTTGATTTTTTCCTCCCCATTTTCCATTAGAATATATAACTCTCATTAACATTAGTAGAAGAATACACGCATATGAAGAAGACCCCCTCGTTCTACTGGGTACATCTCCATACTGCCTGAAAGCATCCTAATTTTACAATACTTTTTCTTAATCTTGACCCTTGTATTGTTCCAGAAAACTGTAGTTGCCAGATGTACAACCATACATTTCTTACCAAAAAGTTTACTTAACATTTGAAAGACCCCCCCCAACAATATTCCATTAAAAATGACCTCGTTGTAAACAGTCAGTTTTGCATTTACATGATTTTTTTCTTAAATGTTTTTGTCCCTAACATGCTTCCCAAACTGAAATTACTTGCATGTTTCTGGTTTTCTAGATATTACATAGCGCCCTTTATAGAAGCCTAATGTCTCGTTTACCCTTACATGTCAGCTGATTACAAGCTTGCATTTTAAAGCTGAGAATGCCTCCGATTTTATGGTCAAAATACATTAAGTGTACGAGTCCTTAAAGAACTTTTAATTGAATTTTCACTATAAAGCAAGTCAATGTTTAAATGAAATAAAAATTACTGTTCATATAGGCAGGCGTTTGAGAAATATATATGTCAAAGGATGCTACATACGCATGCCAGTTATAAGAAATTAATTTCTCATTCTAAAGGAAATCTCTTTTGTAGTTCTTGGCTCAAGACTACACAAAGATAAAACAGAAGGCTTAATGTATTCAATTACATCAGGACAGAAGGGAAGAAAACAACTACCGTTATTAATTAAAAACTCTTTAAAATAAGTTCTTTTCCCCTTCCCTTAATTTTTTTTAAATACAAGTCTCCACTTTACATATTCTTATTTTTTAAAACAAAAGATAATGTAGAAGGAAAGAAGTGAAAAATCCAGAGAAAGAGACTGAAATAATACAGATACTTTCCACTCAAAAGGAAAATAGAAGTACAAGATATTGCAAAAGTATAGAGAAATCCTTCACTGTTTAAAGCACCTTAGGAAAAGGAGCTCGAGCAAAATGATACGAAGTGAAATGTAAAAGTAAAAGGAGGTGAAAAGAGGACAGACTGAAGTATAATTTCTTGAGATTGTAAATGAACACACCTAACCGGAAAATGGGAATAAAAAATACACAACCTGCCAATTTGGGAACTGTTGTCAACATGCTAACCATGATAATTTTGGAGAGAACGCTGCATCAGGTTGGAATGGTCCAGCCGTCAGAGGCAGTTTTAGGCCTATATCCTAGAAAACAGGCCAAGAATGATATATAAGGCTTAAGGGGGAGACGACTGAGGGACCACTATAGGAGGACACTGTCCCTTATGCCCCAGACAACTAGCTTCTATTTAGCAGCCGTCACAGATGAAGAAAGGGCTGTTGGGTTGTCAAAGCATGCCATACTGCTTGAAGCAGTTAGTTTTTGTGATCGTATACAATGGCAATGCTATACTAACCCTCAAGCGGGGAGTGAAATCAACTCAACTGCTGAATTTTCAAGACAGTATAAGGAAAATATATAACCACTAGTCCCAGTTATATCCAAATGACTCTTGCAATTGCACCACCATAGATTAGTTTGAACATCTTAAACATAAGGCTTTTCTAAACGAAATTATTATATTTTTATTTTAGAAATCTGTCTTGCCTCCATTCTGTATCACTAAAAGGGACACCCAGCAACGTACTATTGAGACCTGCAGTACTGCTCAAGAGACAAGGACACATTCATTACATGTAACAAATATGAAAACATAAGTTGACTCTCCTTTCAGTGCTTTTGCCAAAGTATCATGTTTACCTAATAAAATACAGAAAAAGCAGTTCTTCAGATGCCTATGATATGTTACTGCTGTCATGTGATAAGCATGAATTTAGCCAGCAAGCGCAAGGTATTGAGTGAGACATGCTTATGAACAAAATATGCAGCCTTAACAGATCATCTATCTAATTTTGAATTAGACAGCCTAGAACTCCCTCACGTGACAATGCAAGGGGGAAAAAATAAAACCTGATATATTAGGAGATGGGCTTTATTCATGGAATAGCTGGTGTGCACATGGCTTTAAAATTCTAGATACTAACAACGCTCAATCAGGGACAGGAACATTTTTTTTAAGTTATAAGATTTTATATTTATCTTTATACAGCTACTAATGGCAGGAGGTAAGTTGCTTATTTTAACTGGGTTAAAATCAATAATGGCCTATGGAGCCTAAAAGGAAAAGTATAATAAAAAGTGACAATTACATTTTCATTAAATACGTTCAGGTCATCTTAAAAAATACAACAGGTCCCCTACAAATTAACTTTCCTGTAGAAATCAGACAGCTATGAATGTATACATGGATGGGGTAGAAAGACAAGAAAACGCAACTTAGATGGCTAAATTTCAGTATTGTTATTCCCAAGCACTTAAAATATGCCAAGGCTCAAGAACTCATGGTAGTTTAAAAATGATGAAAACTAGAAGTAAATATATAAAAATAAATCTTGGGCTTGTTTAAACTGCCTTTTGGCTTTTACCCATTAGAATTAATATTTTCAAGCTCTTTTTCAGAACAACAAGGAATAGAAACTTGCTTTTTAAAAAATAAATCTGATATTAATCACAAGTCACGTGACTCCAAGAACTGGGGATTTAAGAAACACATCAAATATCATAAGCTGCATGGTAAAGAAAAAAAAAACTAAGAAGTTGGCAACAATGAAAGCTGGAAAATCCACAACATTTCTGAATGAGCTGCTAATTAGAAAAGTGAGAAACCTCATCTGTTTTTGCTGCTGCCAGAGAACTCTCAAACTGTTTGTACCAGTTATAATAATCTGGAGCCAGATGTAATGAACATTTTAGAAATATGAAACAAGTTGTCTGAAGCATGCATTTATAAACTGTTTCTATAAAACATAATTTGTAGTCCAAGTATTCCAATGCCAATTTTTTTTTTAATTATATCTTTGTTTTGAGTGGTGCAGATGATTATATTTACAAGACTTGCAGCCCCAAACCTTGGCTCAGACATGTGAACTGTGTTCAGATTACTATCAGGCCCAACTATACAGTAATACTTTTTGAAGGTGTGAGTTTCTTCTCTAAAGAAAAACACAAAACTATTTTTATTCTCCATCTATTTCCAGTGCTGGCAATAAATGCAGCTTTAGTCACTAGTCTAGCCAGTACTGCCCCAGTTTATGCAATTATTTACAAGGGACTGTTTATCTTTAATTTTTAAATGTGCAAGAGAATGGGTCTGACTGGTGGACAGTATTCTTTAAGTGAATTTAGAAGAGGGAAGTAAAAAACTGAATCCACATAGATATCAAGAGAAGGCTGAGATACTAGTTCAGAAGCTGGTTCTCTGGAGTTAGCATCTCATTTCTATTTGAAGAATCCCCATCCCCAACCCCTCAAGAAATTAGTAAAATATTGTTCAGAGATTAACATGGAAGCTTAATCAGTACACAAAGTCATTGCACACAGGAAGATAGAAATATGACCTCTAGGATAAACAGACCAAATACATTTATGGACTTGCTAAATTTAAATATCTTGTGTACAACCGTTAGAACAATTTCATTATATCTGTACAAAGGGGGGAAGCTTTTCTATGGTTTAAAACTAAACTGAGAAAAACCTCACCCTGTAGTTTCTTTCCTTGAACTTCTCAGTAAGTTTTTATGAATCTACAGTTTTACAGAAATATCAAATAAGCAGTTTTATATTAGATCACAGCTGCAAACAACTCAAAGCACAATCAAAACACAACCACTAGAAGGAGAGAAGCAGGGAAAGCAGTAAATTGCACAGACCTGGAAACATTCAAATACATGCTTACAATTAATTTACTGTATCACACCTCAATTTAGATCACCCCAAATATGGCAAAGACAACATCCAATGCATATTGGATCATTATTAATAAAACCGAACAAGGCAGAGAAGGTATATTGAAGAGAAAGAAACAAACATACCAAATCTAGAACAGAGATTGCTGGCACAGCAGTCTGCTGCAGGTAATAAGGAAAAAAGAAAGATGCACAGTGAAAATAAAGGTAAGTTTAGATTTCTGATACGCCAAAAGCATTTTCCTTTGATTTGTTAGTTTAGCTGATTTAGAAAGATTTAAAAGCAAGAGAAATTGAAGACTTTCATACTATACTGCTGAACCCAAGGAACAGTGAAAATCCAAATACACAAATGGATTTAAGGGATTTATATTAACCATTTTGGATGCTCTGCTAATGATTTATCTTTCTGCAGTTCTACTTATGCCACCTCTAGCAATACAGGCAGATAATGCAAAAGAAGTGCAGCTCTTCTTTTAAAAAAAAGAGATTAAGCAAAGTTTATTTCAGTCTCTGTAGGACTTTTTACCTATTATATTTTGCACTGGAAAAGTATAAAACCACCAATACTCTAAAACACTGAAAGAACTTCACCCATGACTAATATTTACATTAAATGCTTATGGAAAAGAACCCTATGTTAAGTTTATCTACAAAGCCTTTTAATGACACATGGCTTTGTAAGTCAAAGTTACAATAAAATGTTAAAGCTTTTTTGAGCAAATGGCAGTTACATGGATTTTTATGCCCATGGATTTTTAAGCGAGAATCACAGCATTAGCAATGCTGAGAATTAGCAGAAGTGCTTCGCCGAAGATATATTTAGTGTCTTCTTTCACCACTTTGCAAGTGCAACATGTCTCAAACAAAAATGAAGTTCTCCACAAGAAAAATGTAACACCACAAACCATGGCAAGTGCAAAAAAACCCTCCAAACCCACCCAGGGTTAGCAAACCAAGCTGCCAAATCCTTAAGTCAAATACTCTTCTAAAATTGACAGCCATTCTTGAAGGTCAAGCAAACATGCATAAATATTTTTAGTTAGTGAGACTACTTATTTGTTTATCCTGGAGTTTTAGGTCAACTTCTGAAAAGACATGTTCAAGGTCCTAAGGAGATGGCTTTTTTTAAGTTAATAACTGTTAACCTGTACATCTGTTAATGTATTGCATTATTAATCATAAAAAGAAAAATACAGCTTCTTTATGGAAATGACTTCTCAGTGAGGATAGAAAACAAGAAGTTTAGCAGATAAGCTTATCTGCAGCCAACACAGCAAAGACTTTAAAACTAGATACAATCTAATTATATTTCATCTAACAGCTGCAAATACCCTGGCCTCAAGTAAAGAAGCCACAAAGAGTTAAATAAAATACATAAAGAAACACTTTCCTTTTTTCAGTTCCCCTCCCTCAAGATCTTCAGAATGTATCTTACCAAATTTAAAACCAAAACCACCAGGAAACAAAGTGGAGGGTGTTACTTTAAAGGAATTACAGCTAATTCTTCCCAACCAAACTTAACAGCCTACCTACTGGAGAATGCCATTTCCCCAAAAAGAATATCCTCTCCTACCCCCAAAAAAAGTGTCCATTTCCAGCTGAAGCTCTGCAGTTAGTAATTTAGGACACTTTTATAATCCACAATCTCAATGATAAAATAAAAGTACCTTGGAGCACTTTTCCTTAGTAAATTTGTAAGTAATGAAAGACAGGGACATCAGAAGTCCAGTTCTCCTCTATCTTGTGGTATGTTCTAATTTGGGGTAGGAATATTGCAATACAAGTTTACAATAAAACACTTGTGTCTAGAAAGAATTACCCCCACTTTTACCCTTGCTCTTCTTTCAGCCTCCAGCCGCTGCATAATTAGCATGGTATCCACATCATCATCTTCTTCTTCTTCGTCATCGTCTTCATCCTTTTGCTTTGACTCCTGAAGTCGTTTTTGGAACTGCCACTCAAGCATGAGTTTGCGTAGGCGGTCATTCTCCTCTGCTGTGCGATCGGGCTTGTTCTGAAGATCCTGAATCTCTTTGCTCAGCATGTCCACAATGTGCATCTGTTGCTGTTTCTCCAGCTTCTCCTTTGCATCCCGTTTCCAGGGATCAGGAGACAAACTATCACTGGAAGATAGTTCTTCTTTGCTGATGGTAATGTACTGCAGATCTCTTCGCTCAATGGTGCGGGGTTGCTGTTGGGGCTGTAACTCTCGAATAACAGTTTCTTGGGACCTCTGCAATGTTGAAGGCTTTTCTGGTTTTACCTGCTGAACAGAAACAGGAGGAACCATAGGCTGAGAAGGAATTAGTGGCTGAGCCCGCATCTGGCCCAGTTTCCTCTCCTGCTCACGCCGTTTCCTCTCTCGTTCTTCCTCCAAACGTGCCTTTTCTTTTTCATACCATCGCTGATGTTCCTCTCTCTTTTTACGTTCTGCAGCAGCTACCTGGGAAGATGCTGGTGTTCCTAGCTGGTTTGGAGGGGGAGGAGGTGGAAGAGGCAAATCCATTTGCAGTTCATCAAATTCAGCTGCATAATGCACTGGTGGAGGAGGTGGTGGTGGGGGTAGGTCTGTTCTAATGGGCTGGGAAACTGCCACAGGGGTCGGCTGGCTGGTAGCTGGAGTTTTCCACCGGCCAGGTCCACTTTTAGTTAAACACGAACCAGGGGAAATAGGTTTGGATGAATGGTTCAGATGCTCTTGGCTAGATGTGCTGGAATCCACAGACGAATTCATCCACGGATCACTGTCCGACTTGCGATCAATGTACTCCACATCCTTCCGTATAACCACTTCCAAACGATTCCTCTCTGGCTGGAAAACTGTATCTCGCAGTTCTTCCTGAGAACGAGCCACACGCTGGAAAAAATAGAATACATTCAATCTGCATTAAAATTTATATGCAATAATAAAAATTGATGGCTAACTGCAGTTCTACCAAGAAGTCTTTCTATTACTAGTCAAAAGTTTTTGGTAAAAGTTTAGCACTTTCATAACCAGAATGTTTCCCCCAAGACTTTCAGTTACTTAACATTACAAAACAACTCAAGCTTTTAAAAATCAGACAAGCCTTGGATGGCTTTGCAAGGTCTGAGACAATTGTGAAACTGCAACAGGAGAATCGGTGAAAACAAAGCAGAGCTTATGCCAATAAACTTCCCCATCGCACAAATTCTCAGGGCTATTCCTAACAACTCCTCCCCAATGCAACCGCATTGGGTCAGGCAGTCTGGAACAGTAGTAACTCAAGCGCACTAACTCTCCAGCTCAGCTTCCAACTGCCTTGTCAAAACATTTCTCTTTTCTGAACACAAATACAAGGAATGCTGAGGGGGAGAGGGGACATCTGTGTGCTCCTCCCCACCATTTCCAACTGGAGACATTCTCTGTTACTGTCAGAGGGGACATGGGTGATAACGTCTCAATTTCACCTGTCTCCTGAGGATGTTCAGGATTTCTTTGTTTGTACCCTTACACCATTTTGAAGATATCATGCACAAAAAAGTGTTAAGTACAGTTACTGTATACCAGCTAGGAAAGTCCCGTTCCATTACAAACCCCCCTAGATGTGAAAATATTCAAAACCATGATGACAATGACTGTGCCTCTTAATTCTAAAATATCTTTCTCAAAACTAATACTTGTACCTCAAAATTTTATGAAATCCTTGGGATTAAGCACAGAATGTACAAGCTAACAAGCAGCAAAACTGGAGCACCAATGACCTTAACTATGACCTCAAAAGAATGCCTTCCTTGGGATAAAGGAGTGCATTTTTATGCTCTATTAGTCCAGCAGCTCTGAACACACAGCTATTTGTGTCAGATTAATTGTGAAAGTGCACCTAGCCAAACAGTTTGCTAATGACTTGTGCATTTACATAATAAAAACAGGCATTTTAAGTCAGCCAGCAATTTATTGGAACTTGCACAAGCATGGCTCCCACTAACTCAGCAGAAATAGTGCCTTCAAACCTAGTGATAATTTTCCTTATTGACGAGTTATCTGGAAGAGGTCATTCAGCAAAATATGCTTTTACAATAAGTATTCTAAAACTGCCAAAAAAAAAGTCTTTTCAAACAAAAATGAAACCCACAAGCTATTGCTGTAGAAAAGCAAAATCGTTATGAGATTTTTGAAGTCTGATTTATATCAGCTTTGAAATTAAAAATCCCTGATATGAAAACATATCATATACTAACAAAAACAAAACTTAACATATACATACAAAACACCTAACACATACTTCTAAGTAATTTCGCTTTATCAAAACTCTGGCAGAATTTGGCTGCCACTCAGAGTGTGGGCATCTAGTAGCCACTTGCTGTTTGTGGGGATCTGGAGTATTAATGTCTAATAATAATTTTTCCTTAGCTTTTTACCACTAATTTACACCACTGAAGTTAAGAACACAGGGTTAGCTTTCTAAAGTTGCAAACAGCTAGGCAAGCTGAACTATAATTACCATCAGCAAATTAA